ATCCTCCTGGACACCTGTCATCCTCCGGGACACCTGTCATCCTCCGGGACACCTGTCATCCTCCGGGACACCTGCCATCCTCCGGGACACCTGCCATCCTCCGGGACACCTGCCATCCTCCGGGACACCTGCCATCCTCCGGGACACCTGCCATCCTCCGGGACACCTGCCATCCTCCGGGACACCTGCCATCCTCCGGGACACCTGCCATCCTCCGGGACACCTGCCATCCTCCGGGACACCTGCCATCCTCCGGGACACCTGCCATCCTCCGGGACACCTGCCATCCTCCGGGACACCTGCCATCCTCCGGGACACCTGCCATCCTCCGGGACACCTGCCATCCTCCGGGACACTTGTCATCCTCAGGGACACCTGTCATCCTCCTGGACACCTGTCATCCTCCTGGACACCTGTCATCCTCCTGGACACCTGTCATCCTCCTGGACACCTGTCATCCTCCTGGACACCTGTCATCCTCCTGGACACCTGTCATCCTCCTGGACACTTGTCATCCAAGCGTTTTAGTGATCTTTGGAACTTGGTACAGTATTTATTTTACAAATATTACTTTAATTTCCCCTTAAATGAAGGACCTCCTCAAGCACTCATGGCCAGATGGTTTTGTTTAAGTTAGAACACTGAAGTAATTGGTGAGGTTGGTGTGTGTGTTTCCTGTTTATATCGGCAGGATGACGTGTGTTCCGCTGGTGCCTGGTGTTGTGGCTTGACCAGCTCAAGCTCCAGATAAGTCTAGCGGCTCCAGCCATAATGTGAGTGGTACGTTATCAGTATTTGACCCGTTGAATGGCGGGCCAGCGGTGCTTTGTAAGTCTGTTTATTCTCTAGGTCATGAATTATTGCTTAGATATATGCAACGTATGCATGAGCACTCACCTAATTGTGCTTGCAGGGGTTTAGCGTCGGCCCTTTGGTCCCGTCTCTCAACTCTTAAGCAACTAGTGTACAGGGTACTGTGCCTATTGGGCTCAGTCATATCTATATTTGAAACTGTATGGAATCTGCCTCCACCACATCACTTCCTAATGCATTCCAGTGTTAATTACTCTGACACAACACTTCCTTCTTTAGTTACTCCAGGCGTTATCTTCACTCACTACCTTAGTTCCTCGCTACCCCAGTTAAACTTTAATCTCTCCACCATTTTCTGTAGTAGGATTTTATACAAGGTATCTCCCTCAATCTTTGTTCATCTCCCCAACACTTTTTTTCATCTCCATCTTTTTAATGCTCGTTTGCCCACTCTCCTGGTGTTCGTTCCTTCACCATCTTGTTCATCTCCCCACATATTTGTTGTTTTTCTCCCCACCCCTTTGTTGCTCATCTCCCCCACCCCTTCGTTGCTAATCTTCCCCAACCCTTTCTCTTGCTAATCTTCCCCAACCCTTATGTTGTGCGTCTCCCCGCCCCGTGATGTTTGTGTCTCGGCCTTCTCGCCTCTAGTGAGTTATCTAAGCAACATGCAACATACACCTACGGTTCACATCCTCGCATCACGCCTCCACTTGATTCTTCCTAACATTCGCGTCTATCGTGCTGCCTTGCGGCATTCCCACCTATTACCCCTATCTCGCCCATCCTATCACATCCCTCTATCTCACCCTCTCGGATCTCCTCCACCCAGCCATCTTCCTCTCTACACCACCCTACCTTCCATCAACCCATACTCACCCTCCTTCATGATACCTTCATACCTTTTCGTGATGAGAAGTATTTTGTGCTCCAATGACCCTAATGGCAGTTGGACTGGGATTGTGCAAACCCTCTTCTGTCTCCTGTCCTTCGGACAGGAGACAGACTAAGTGCGCCTCACCGCTAGGAATAAGACCCTCTTTTTCGTTTGTGCCTCGGGCATTCAATCTGGCAAAATCGAGATTGTTAACGCAAAGGTTAGATGATTTTCTTTGTACGGCTCCAGTGATGGCATTATTCCGGCTTAGACACCTACCCGCTCACCCTCGCATGTCTTCTCTTACCTTCCTATTATTTCAACTCGCCCCCTTAAGTTGCCACAACAAACATAATACATGTTGCTAAAACGCGCGAACCTTAGACTGCCACCGTCCCCTCCCCCACATGCGACTACACATGTAGGGAAGGGTAGGTAGTGGGCAGTGTGGGGGAGGGTAGGTAGTGGGCAGTGTGGGGGAGGGTAGGTAGTGGGCAGTGTGGGGGAGGGTAGGTAGTGGGCAGTGTGGGGGAGGGTAGGTAGTGGGCAGTGTGGGGGAGGGTAGGTAGTGGGCAGTGTGGGGGAGGGTAGGTAGTGGGCAGTGTGGGGGAGGGTTGGCTATTTGCGAGCTGCAACTTTTCATATTTATTTATTACTCATATATTTATTATGCACCCCATACCTACCCTGTGGGCGGTAATGGAAAGGGTTACAGATGCACATAATTGGTTTTGGAACTGAATCCCATAGTTCGTTTAGCTAACATTTCATAGAACCCCGTATTATTGTCCGTTGAGGAACAGCGTACAAACTGTGGTGTATTATTTGAGAGAACGAGTTGACAAACCCTCAAGACGCTTCCCTGCTCTGCCAGTGCCACCCTCTACCTAACCCCCTTCTTAAGACTTCAAGGTGACCATCTTCTCTCTTCCTTCAGATGACAGTCACTCACCATGTGCCTCCCCACACTCCCTCCCCCCAGCTCGCCCCCTAAGACACCCTGTCGTGCAGAGGTTGACATACAAGCCTCGGAAGCAAGCTAACCTGGGTTCGGATCCTGGGCAGTGAGGACGGTTGTTGATCATTTCTTAACGTTTACTCAAGTAATTTGAGACCTGGATGTAAAATTGTTGGCAGATTGTGTTCTGGGGATAACACGGGATGAATAACCTAACCAGTTCCAGTACCTGGCCCGAGGCCTAAATTCCAACATGAAAAAAGCCCCCCCCCCCATCACCAGGCATGTGCGGCCCGCCCCATCATCCATCTTCGTCACAGAGAAACTGACGTCACCCCTGCATGCTCATGGCTGAGCACTGCTGTTGGGTGTTAATTGTTAGAGCGGTGTGGGGGGCGGGGAGGAAGTTGGTAGTGGGGGGGGGGGCGGGGAGGAAGTTGGTAGTGTGGGGGGGGCGGGGAGGAAGTTGGTAGTGTGGGGGGGCGGGGGCGAGGAGGAAGTTGGGAGTTTATGGGTGGGGAGAAAGTGGGGGGTGGGGTGCTGAGGTATCCAGCTGATAAAAATCAGTGTATGTTGGTAATGTGTGAAACCCTGATTTGGTATCAGCTGAATGCCTCAGGACCCCTAAAGGATTGAGTCCCAGGTTACATTACTCTTGTAGCATAGCGTGGTCCAGTGGGTTTAAGGCGTGTACTTGGGAGTAACCAGTGTACAAGTTCGAATCCTATTCATGGTTCATGAGCTGTGACTTAACGATATTCATTTTTTATTACATAGACATATCTTTGTAATAGTCATTCTTTTATAATATATCCACCTAGGGGTTCCAAAGTTATATTTTCTTTCAATAATGCTGATATATTTTGAAAGGATATTGGCATGTGATAAGCTAATCCTGATAAGAGAAAACTGTTCGATGCACGAGAGATTTCCTTTAGAGTAAATATTGCTATTGGGGTTGGTCAGAATATGTAGCCGGGCAGCAAGTTGCAGTGAGCGCGAGAATGGCCATCTCGATACGATACGTCTTGAACATCTTCTTTATCCACAATTTAGCTTGCCAGAGTGGGCATTTTACAGGTCCCACAGTTCACGACCATACAGACTGAGACACTGACTCTTAAACAACTACTTTCGATCGGATGTAAATGTGACCAAATTTATTCTGTATAACGTATTGACTTCCAGGTCTCTGATAGTATCAAAAAGTTGACAAGAGAGCCCATTGAGGATATAATATGACCCATATGATTTTTGGAATGTTTTAGGATCAATATATGCCTAGCAGTTTTAGTTTAAGAACTGTAGTAAACAAATTCAGCCAGCTAAAAACAGCAGTACATTTGCTCGTTTTGAAAAAGTTACGTTAAAATCCGATCTTTTATATATTTAAATTTCCTGTGACAATTTTAGTAAGTGCTAATACAACTAGAATATTAATATTGCAAAATAAGATATCCTTTAGTACTGTGCATTCAAAAGCCTGTTCGGCTGGATCTCAGTTTTCAACGGTGGATCAAGATAGACAGCAAACAGTTAAACAAAAAAACTACTCCTTGTTTGACCCTATTTTGTTTTAGCGAGAAATGTTCACGGGTACTTTGCAGATTTGATACAAAAAAAAAAGTATAGATATCTAGCAATTGCAGGACAAACTTTTCTGCTAAGATCCCATTAAAAATTTGATACAGTAAACTTTGTCAAATGCTCTAGAAGCATCGAGAAACTGGTAGAAAAGAAGAGAGCTGCCAAGTTAGTTGTGCTACTGAGTATTGTCTGCCAGTAACATCCTCCCACCTCCTTCCCCCGAAATTGTTTAGTGTTTCAGACACATCCCGTATAGCATCATCTTGCATGGAACACTGACCAGTAGTTTAGTGCCTCCTGTCTGTCTTTCTTTTATGGTGGCACTATATTGGTTGTTTACCAACTTTCTGGTAGTTTCCCTTTTTCCTGTTAACTTTTGCTTCTTTATCCTCCCTCCACTTCCTTAACCCCTTCTCCCCAACTCTTCTGCCTCCTTCCTTACCATATCACCTCCTATTCCAACTTTTCCTCCTCTTTTCCTCTAAGCCTTATTTTCGCACCCTTCTCTTCCTTCATCATCCTTCTCTTGTTCCACCAGCCTTCTCTTGATCTGCCACCCTTCTGTTCCTTCATCACCCTTCTCTTCATCCTCATCCTTCATCACCCTTCTCGTCCTTCTTTTCATCTCCCCCTCTCTCCCTCTCTCCCTCCTTTTCCTTCATCACCCTCGTCTTCATCGTCGTCGTCTTCCTTCATCGCCCTCCTCCTTCATCACCCTCGTCTTCATCGTCGTCGTCTTCCTTCATCGCCCTCCTCCTTCATCACCCTCGTCTTCATCATCGTCGTCTTCATCATCGTCGTCTTCATCATCGTCGTCTTCCTTCATCGCCCTCCTCCTTCATCACCCTCCTCCTTCATCACCCTTGTCTTCCTGGGCGCCGTGTTTTTCATCGTGGGGGAAGATTGGTCGTCAATGTGATTATAACGTCTTCGCCGTACATCCTGGAATCCCATTTTACTATTCATAATCAGGTCTCCGTGAGGGGCTGGGCCCTTCTGGCTCGCCTGCCGCGTCTTCCTCTCGCGTCAGGGTGTTAGGAAAGCTCTACACACGCTCAGTTCCTCTTAAAAAGCAGCAGTAGCCCAGCACTCGGAGAACTCGTATTCATGCACTTAAAATCTTGACTGGCATTAGCAGCCGCTTTTCTCTCTCCTTCATGGGATTCTTTTCTTAAGGATTACTTACCCTGTACATGTCCACCGTCAGCACGACTGTTACGACCATAAACAAATACCACAGACTTTCTCGGTCAAGAATACGGCAGATATCCTTATAGTGCATCCAAAGTCGGCCAGTGAAAGCAACAGATCACATACTCCTGTATGACTAACCATCCTGCGAGATGTGATGTTTAGTACACGTAGCTGTGTGTTGCCACAAACTGTGTAACATTTTATATAGTCTAGAGTAGCTGCATAGATACAAAGGTTCTTAATTATGTCAATGAAATAGAGATAAAACTCCTTGACACGTATGTTTGATCAGTAGCTTGCACGTGCAAGTTTTGGAGGCATTACATATATATATATATATATATATATATATATATATATATATATATATATATATATATATATATATATATATATATATATATATATATATAATGACGACTGAAAACTCGCACCCCAGAAGTGACTCGAACCCATACTCCCAGGAGCAACGCAACTGGTAACTACAGGGCGCCTTAATCCGCTTGACCCTCACGGCCGGACAAAAGGAAGTGATAGCCGAAGCTATGCTATGCTATGCCCAAGATTACCATCCGAGTTGCCGGCGGGGAAGTGGTTCAAATAGCTTCGGCTATCACTTCCTTTTGTCCGGCCGTGATGGTCAAACGGATTAAGGTGCCCTATAGTTACCAGTTGCGTTGCTCCTGGGAGTATGGGTTCGAGTCACTTCTGGGGTGTGAGTTTTCAGTCGCATATAGTCCTGGGGACCATTTAGGCTTGTTCGCATATATATATATATATATATATATATATATATATATATAACTGAAAACTCACACCCCAGAAGTGACTCGAACCCATACTCCCAGAAGCAACGCAACTGGTATGTACAAGACGCCTTAATCCACTTGACCATCACGACCGGACAAAATGAGGTGATAGCCGAGGCTATTTGAACCACCCCACCGCCGGCACTCGGATAGTTATCTTGGGCATAGCATTTTACCAAATCACCTCATTCTTAGGGGCACACGTGAGGAACACAAATGCGAACAAGCCTGAATGGTCCCCAGGACATATGCAACTGAAAACTCACACCCCAGAAGTGACTCGAACCCATACTCCCAGAAGCAACGCAACTGGTATGTACAAGACGCCTTAATCCACTTGACCATCACGACCGGACAAAATGAGGTGATAGCCGAGGCTATTTGAACCACCCCACCGCCGGCACTCGGATAGTTATCTTGGGCATAGCATTTTTACCAAATCACCTCATTCTTAGGGGCACACGTGAGGAACACAAATGCGAACAAGCCTGAATGGTCCCCAGGACATATGCAACTGAAAACTCACACCCCAGAAGTGACTCGAACCCATACTCCCAGAAGCAACGCAACTGGTATGTACAAGACGCCTTAATCCACTTGACCATCACGACCGGACAAAATGAGGTGATAGCCGAGGCTATTTGAACCACCCCACCGCCGGCACTCGGATAGTTATCTTGGGCATAGCATTTTACCAAATCACCTCATTCTTAGGGGCACACGTGAGGAACACAAATGCGAACAAGCCTGAATGGTCCCCAGGACATATGCAACTGAAAACTCACACCCCAGAAGTGACTCGAACCCATACTCCCAGAAGCAACGCAACTGGTATGTACAAGACGCCTTAATCCACTTGACCATCACGACCGGACAAAATGAGGTGATAGCCGAGGCTATTTGAACCACCCCACCGCCGGCACTCGGATAGTTATCTTGGGCATAGCATTTTACCAAATCACCTCATTCTTAGGGGCACACGTGAGGAACACAAATGCGAACAAGCCTGAATGGTCCCCAGGACATATGCAACTGAAAACTCACACCCCAGAAGTGACTCGAACCCATACTCCCAGAAGCAACGCAACTGGTATGTACAAGACGCCTTAATCCACTTGACCATCACGACCGGACAAAATGAGGTGATAGCCGAGGCTATTTGAACCACCCCACCGCCGGCACTCGGATAGTTATCTTGGGCATAGCATTTTACCAAATCACCTCATTCTTAGGGGCACACGTGAGGAACACAAATGCGAACAAGCCTGAATGGTCCCCAGGACATATGCAACTGAAAACTCACACCCCAGAAGTGACTCGAACCCATACTCCCAGAAGCAACGCAACTGGTATGTACAAGACGCCTTAATCCACTTGACCATCACGACCGGACAAAATGAGGTGATAGCCGAGGCTATTTGAACCACCCCACCGCCGGCACTCGGATAGTTATCTTGGGCATAGCATTTTACCAAATCACCTCATTCTTAGGGGCACACGTGAGGAACACAAATGCGAACAAGCCTGAATGGTCCCCAGGACATATGCAACTGAAAACTCACACCCCAGAAGTGACTCGAACCCATACTCCCAGAAGCAACGCAACTGGTATGTACAAGACGCCTTAATCCACTTGACCATCACGACCTTCACGTGTGCTTCCTCACGTGTGCCCCTAAGAATGAGGTGATTTGGTAAAATGCTATGCCCAAGATAACTATCCGAGTGCCGGCGGTGGGGTGGTTCAAATAGCCTCGGCTATCACCTCATTTTGTCCGGTCGTGATGGTCAAGTGGATTAAGGCGTCTTGTACATACCAGTTGCGTTGCTTCTGGGAGTATGGGTTCGAGTCACTTCTGGGGTGTGAGTTTTCAGTTGCATATGTCCTGGGGACCATTCAGGCTTGTTCGCATTTGTGTTCCTCACGTGTGCCCCTAAGAATGAGGTGATTTGGTAAAAATGCTATGCCCAAGATAACTATCCGAGTGCCGGCGGTGGGGTGGTTCAAATAGCCTCGGCTATCACCTCATTTTGTCCGGTCGTGATGGTCAAGTGGATTAAGGCGTCTTGTACATACCAGTTGCGTTGCTTCTGGGAGTATGGGTTCGAGTCACTTCTGGGGTGTGAGTTTTCAGTTGCATATGTCCTGGGGACCATTCAGGCTTGTTCGCATTTGTGTTCCTCACGTGTGCCCCTAAGAATGAGGTGATTTGGTAAAATGCTATGCCCAAGATAACTATCCGAGTGCCGGCGGTGGGGTGGTTCAAATAGCCTCGGCTATCACCTCATTTTGTCCGGTCGTGATGGTCAAGTGGATTAAGGCGTCTTGTACATACCAGTTGCGTTGCTTCTGGGAGTATGGGTTCGAGTCACTTCTGGGGTGTGAGTTTTCAGTTGCATATGTCCTGGGGACCATTCAGGCTTGTTCGCATATATATATATATATATATATATATATATATATATATATATATATATATATATATATATATATATATATATATATATATTGGTGTATACTGGCAGCAGGTTTTCTTTCAAACATGTATCATTGAATATGACCGCATATTCTGTGTTTATTATTTTCTGGTTTAGGGCTTCTATCCCTCTAACTATTTTCTTAGCATCAGGGCTTAATTGAAATAGGAGTTCTCCAAAACTCATTTTCGTACTTTTGAGGTGAAGAAAAGAAGTGATTTACTATAGAGTGTATTACACTTATTTATATAATTTGCACAACGTTTCGAAAATGTGAACTGGGTCACATTTTCCAACGTTACATTATTGTCTGCGAGAGAATGATTTTAGTGTGACTTAGCAAGTTCTTAACAAACTGTAGTTCTTCATGTTCTTAGGATAACAAAAACAAAGGTAATGTTTCAGTTTCAACCTTCTTGACAGGAACCGGTCGAAATTATTAATATAGTCTGCAAGAAGGGTTATGTGCTCCGGTGCGCTGAAGCGCAGTTGAGTGTGCCTTACTAGACATAGAAGATGGAGTGTTTTTTTCTTAAGTATCCTGGTATCAGGTATGGAAAAGACTGACCCAAATGTATGTAGGCTAAACTTTTGGGTTAGATGAATATTATCTGGTGCCGGTGACAGTTGTCATCAACCTGTTCTCTTAAAAATAACATCGCTTTTGGCCGTTTGCCCGTATGGCCGAAAGTGGACGTAATTTGAAAATGAAAAAAAAAAGGAAAATAAATTTGGTATTTTTTTTTTTCAAGAACAGTAAGTTAAGGGTCCTCTGATAGGTTAGGTGGGCAGGAAATTCTCATAAAGTTTCAAAACGTTATAAAAAAACGTTAATTGAAAGTGTCCTCTTCTAACCTTACTGAGTAAGCCGGACGACTCAAACAGAAAACGGGACTGTACGTCACTTTCTTGAGTCGATTTAATTTCAAATTATGTCCAAATTTGGCCATAGCGCGCATACGAGCCAAAAGTGACGTTATTTTTAAGAGGCCGGGTTGATCAATGCGTGATGCATTCTCTCAAGTTGTCTTTGAAATGCCGGTGGATGTCATGTCTCCAACTTTAATGGTATTTAAACATAATGTAGAATATATAAATTGAACAATTATCAAGCAATTAACGTGCTTATAAATCCTAATTCCTACTGTGGTGTGTTAATTATGCTTGTGGTCCGCCTTGGGGACTTAGCAACACCTTGATGGTTTCGTACTGTCCAGACTACACAGGCGATAATGTACACAAGATTAACTGTTTCTGATGTTCTGTTTTCTGCTAGTTTTCTTGGATGTAATCTCTCTTGTCTGTTAATACTCAAATATCTTTGTTTACCTTAAATTTTACATCT